AATAACTGATAAATTTCCAACTGTTCAAAAAGAAAAAAAAGGACTTAATTTAAAATTTAACCTTTAATGCTTTTGGATAAACATAAGCCTTAATGCAAACTCTTTGCCTTAAATGGTAGAATATTTAGAAATTTGCACAAATTACAAAAAAAACCCCAAAACATTGTTTGGGAGGGTTAAAATAGAAAGTTGTATGACTCTGTATGTGTACAGATTTTTATACACATATGTATATACAGGCTGACTTGATCTAGACTATTAAATCCACCCTGCAAGCTAATCCCCCCACCGCAACGGTTGCCATACGTCTTTGCTAGTTAGTACCTAGAGCGGTTAATCATTAGTTACACTGTTTCCCAAAGAGTAGGGCAATGGGAAGCACAGTGTGGCCTACCAGCATTTGAAAGCATGTGCCTGACCTCTGTGTGTGCAGAGATGAGTGGATGTGAATATGCATAAAAGACAAAGCTGCTACTCTCATGAGTGTTACTATAGGGTTTTATTTCCTGTCAAATTGCTACTTCTATTATGGAAGACAAAAAGTATTTCCATTTGTAAATGAAAAACCAATTTGTCAGTTTAGTAATGTTGAACAAAAATTGGTATGTTATAAAAATGAAACAGTTTTGAGGCAAAATTATAAACTTAAATGTGTAGGTAATCTATTTATGTACTGCTATAAAGTATATATATATATATTTTTTTTTTGTGTGTGTGTGTGTGTGGAACAATTATTTATTTTTATTTTCTCTTTTTACTGAGTTTATTGGTACAATCTAGGTCCACAATACAGTTACATTCATTAATGGGATCCTGTACCTTCACATGACAGTTCTTGATTCTCATTTTTTCCCCTTGTCCCTGCTATAAAGTATATTTTGAAGAGAGATATGCAACGAAGCTATTAACTACATGAGGTATATGTATATTTATGGAATTTTTTCATCCTGGCTGCCAGGAATATTAAAAAGTGGATATACTTAACCATAACATATTGTGATTCATCAAATAACACAAACTTCCATTTCATGGAATTTATTTGTTGATGCTGATTTAAAGTATCACTTATTTTATCATGAGGGAACATAGGATTTTGAACTGTCGATTCAAGTTGTTGTCTTATCATACTGTCTTTTCAAAGTTTTGCCAAATGAAAAGGGATGCATTATGTTTACAAATCTGTTTTGAAATGTTTGCCAAAAGGTTGGTAGTATCTTTAATAAAGATGTCTGTCTCTAGCATCCAAGAAAAAAAAAATCTTTAACCTATCTCTATTTTATTTCCTATTACTCTCTGTTCATTTCCTCTGTATAAAAAAAATCATGAAAAACAACACTGTATAAAAACTTGCAGTGGTAGAAAAATACCAATTTCACATTAGTAATTACTTCTGCAAAAAGAAGAGAATACTAGGGATTTTAACTATATCTGAGATGACTTTTCAAAAACTATGAATATGATAATGAAAACACTAAAACAAAGACCCAAAATATGGCAAGAAACTAAACTTTAACAAAGCTATATGGTAGATGATAAGAGTACTTTTTATATCATTCATACTTTTTGTATTTGCTTAACAGGGTTGATGAACTATAGTCTATGGGCCAAATCTGGCCCACTGCCTGTTTTACACACCATCTTGTACCCCTTCTCACCCTGCCCACTGTGGATGATTAAACCTAGGGTGCTCTGCAACTTAGCTACATCCTGAGCCCTTTTTACTTTTTAAAAACTTTGAGATAGGTCTTGCTAAATTGCCAAGGATGGTCTTGAACTTGCCATCCTCTGGTCTTTAGCCTCCAGGGCATATGGGATTATAGATGTGTGCCACCATACCCTACTTTAAATTTTTTTTAAAGACAGATTACCATGTGACACTGATTTTGTGACACATAAAAGCCTAAAATATTTACTTTTACAGAGAAAGCTTGCTAACTCCGGACTTAAAACATTTCACTGAGAAGAAAAAAAAAGTGGAGGCAACTAAATCAAAGAATGGTTTGTCTTGTATTAAGTATCAACATGAATGATACATCTTTAGTTTTTCATTAATAATTTTCCAACTTTTATCAATCAGAAATCTCATAAATTTTATTCTATTCTATGATATTAAAATGTATTTATAAGAAGGGTGGGAAACAGTACTTTAGTCAGATTTATATTTCAGTCCACACTTGTAAAAAAACACTGGGAAGCTCATTTAGAGCCCAGTGTGGTATTATTAGCAGCTCTACATAGGGATATCACTGGGGGCCTGTCAGTGCTTCTGAGATTGGAGGTATCAGCAGGAATCTGTATCATTTTTTTCACAGGAGACAACTAAGGAAGAGGGTTGAAAAAAGCAAAATAAGACAAAAGACAAAATGCTGTATTGCAGTGTTTCTGGCTATACTGGTTATGAGATGTAGTACAGGTCATCAGAGAAGGTCGAAGTTTTCTTTTAATAGACTGCTGTGTTGTGGAGAAAACAGTGAGTTAATACATCTAAATGCTAAATGCTTGGTGTGCTTTAGCTCACAATAACTGTTGCTCTTAAGATACTGCCATTTGGATATTGCTATATAGGTTTTTGCTTTCTTTATAAAATTTTAAGCACACCAGTACTTTCTGTGAATATGAAAGTTTTTTTATTTTTAAAATTAATTCCCAGTTTCTCTCCCAGTGACAACCCAAGTAAAGATACTAACATTTGTGAATCAACATGAGACTTACACAAAAAGATTTTACAGAAATGTTCAGTGAACATCTAAAGATTTTTATACTCAAATCATTTTATAGCCTTAAAAAGTGCACTGTTTTAAACTTTAATGTCACTAGGAGCTAAAAATGTGCATAGAATAGCAGCCACAAAATATATACTGGATGAAACTATTCATCTTATCATAGCCCAATTTCTTTCCTCTGCTCAAATGAAATTTTTAATACTACTAAGATAGCATATCACTTGATTTTTTAAATATTTTTGGTACCAGGGATCAAACTTGGGTCCTTGTGCTTGCAAGGCAGGTAGTGGAACCACTGAGCTAAATCCCTGGTCCTATCACTTGAGTTTTAACAAGACCACATATTACTCATAATATCCTATTTTTAAAATACTACATAAGAATATACAATAAAATGGAGTACTACTCAGTCATAAAGAACGAAAAACTAGAGACATTTATAGCTAAATGGATGTACACTGAGGCCATATTCAAGTGAAATAATAGGACACATATGTAAATACTGAATAGTTTCTCTGGTGTGAAAAAATTAAAAGTGTAAAAAAGGTTCAAATTATATAACTGATAATGTGAAATAGGAAGAAAAGGGCTAACGGACTAGGGGAAGGGGGAAGGGAAGGGGAAAGAAAGAAGGAAAAAAATACAAAAAAAGGAAAAAATGGAAACAAAGTCTTTGTAAATAGGGAAGGGTGGAGGGGGTGAAGTGAGGGCAGGGGAAAAATAAAGGGAAAAAATAACCAAGATACATCATGTAAAGGTACAAGATTCCAATGATGAATGTAATTGTACTGTATGCCTAAAAAGTTCCAATATACTTAATGAACAAAAAAGAATATACAAAAAGGCATAATCAACATGACAAAACACTGATGGTTCTAGAATCCAGATTATGAAAGAGAACACTACTTATACTATTGAGTCCCTCTCCCATACCCTTCGCCAGGGTTAACCACTGTTCTAAACACTGTATTTGATGCATCCACATATTTCTTCAGGCTTTTGTACAAATTTACTTATCTTAAAAACTCATATCATCATTTTATAACTTGTTTTTATGTTTTTGAATTCATACAAGATGACACATATGAATACTCATGTGATAGCAATCATGTTTAACCAAACAGTAGTCCAAATGTCTTTGTATGCTTTTCAGCTTTTAAAATTGGAGCACTGGACTATGAGTAGAAGTTAACTGTGTCATGTTTGCGCCAAGGCAGTTAAAAGAATCATCGCTTTCTTCTTCAATGAATTGATAAAGCCACATATTCCAAATGGGTCAATGAGGCTACAGTAAGAGCAAGGAGCCTCCATCAGCCCTAGTCTTTGAATGAGGTGGCAAAGAGTCCCTTGGTAACTCTTAACTTGTGAAATGAGCAAGGAATAATCTTGTGCTAAGACACACGTATGTATATTCAGATGGGCAGATAACTACCTTTCTGCAAGTATTCAGAAGCAATGCTACCACTAGGTAGATATATTCAAGCCTTTTGAAAATACTTTTCGGATTGATTGTAGAATGATCTTTATTCTTACTTGCATGGAGAAGCCAATTTCATATGCTCTAATTATTACCTTTTTGAAAACACTACATTAACAACACTTTCAAATACATGCTCACATACTGTTTTTCTGGAATGTTGGTTTGGTCTCTCCAACAGAATTTTAAGCTCCTTAAGAATCAAGTCCTTGTTAAATATGGTAGGCCATTTCTGCAATCCCAGCTAGTTGAGAGGCTGAGGCAGAAAGATCATAAGTTCAAGACCAGTCTGGGCAACTTAATGAGATCCTACCTCAAAATAAAAAAGGGCTGGTGATGTAGCTGAGTGCTATAGTACTTCCCTAGCATGTGCAAGGCCCTGGGTATAGTTCCCAGTACTGGAAAAAAAAATCATGTACTTTCTTCTCTTGTATTTTATTCTTTACCTTACAGAAGTCTACACAGGCGTGCAGTAAGGACTGGACTTTCGGCTGACTAGGAAGGATGAGGACTGATATTAAATGCCTGTTTTATGTAAGCAATGTACTTCACTACTCATGCTTCACCTACACTATCTAGAGCCTTACTATTTCCACTGTATAGTTGAGGATATTAAGGCTAGGAAGGTGTGGAGAGGGCAGTCTGTTTGACTCTTAAAGCCTTTACTTTTTACTGACTGAAATAAATGAGATCATTCCTAGGGTAGAACATGAAATGGCTAGCAAAAATAGATTTTGTTTATGAATTTTGCAAACATTAAAACACTTCTCAGGACTCAAGATAAGATTACTGGGTCTTACCTTGATCACTTCTGGGGTCTGCTGAATCAAAACCACTGAAGTAGTGTCTTTGGGTTTATCACCAACAGGATCCTTACAGATGGATAAATTGGTCTTAGAGGAAGTTGTCAAGGTTTCCTGTAGAATTTGCATCATTTCTTTTTCCTGGGATAGGCAACCTCTGCCTGATTTGCAGTCAACTAGTTCTTGAGCAAAGTCTTCAATACTTTCCAGAATTCGTAGTAAGAGGGCTCGATCCTCTTCCTCTATTTTGTGTCCATTGGTTTCAATAATTCTTGATAGACAGGAAGGTGAGACTTTTTCCACAGGTGGAGAGACTGTAGATTTAGGCTCAGTGTCTACAGGGAGCTGACCAGTCAAATGATTACGATAATTTAGAGAACTGGAGTTTTTACCCTTGGCAAGTGGCTCTCTTAGAGAGGTCTCCATCTTCTGTGAAAATGATTCCAAATCCATCAACAATTTATCTATCTCTTCCTGACTGTTCGAGTTAATAAAGTTTCTCTGGTCTCCTGTTTCCACTTTAGGAACTTTTGTTTCAGGGTCTTCTTCAGGTAGATGAACAATCGGTTTCTCAAATATCTTACCAATTTCATTTTGTATTGAGGCACAAGAATTTTTAAGATGAGTACCATGGTCTGAAAATTCTCCTCTCTGTTCATTTACTTTTAACAACTTGTGACTGAGTCCATTCTCTGTCTGTTGTACTTTATTTAATAATGCCTTCTTTCCATCTGACTCTTCTTCAATATAAAGAGTTTCCATTAAGTTTCCAGAAGAAACATTCTCCACATGGTTCATGGATAATGGTGACTGAAGCTGGACAGCTTTTAAAGTTCTGGGATCATTTACTCCCAAGCTATATAAGGAATTTGTAGAGTTGTTTGGAATGGTTTTTACAATGTCCATTTTCCTAGAATTATGTTTGTCATCTTGCAATTCAATAGTTTGAAATTGTCCAGAGTTAGGGGTTGGGAGCTGGACAACATCTTCATATTTAGGGGGCTGTTCAGTGCCATATATTGGTGAGAAGGGAGTTAACTGTAAGCTAGGCATATTACTGACTAGTTCTGTTAAATCTATGGACTCATTATTCTCAGATTGCATGAATTCAAATGGTAACTTTTTTAGATAGGATGCTAACCTGGTCATTACATTCATATAGACGGTTTCAGAACTAGAAATTGTATCATTACCACTTCCTTCATTGATGCTACCTCCTGACTTTTTCTTTATGCATTGTTTTATGATGTCTGTGCATTTTTTCAAATCTTCAGAACATTTCAGTAAAATGTCCAAACACATTTTTATGTCTGTGCCCGAAGAAAAATTATCGATTTTATGTTTTTCCAAAATCTGATTAACCAGGTCTTCTTCAGAGAAGTTTTGAAGAAGCATTGAAGTTAAGTTTGTCTCAAGTGAGTTTCTATGGGATAAAGATTTTTCCTCAACTGAAGAACTCCGGAGTAAACCAAAGGATGGAGTGGTCTCATCATTGTTATAATGGCCACAGAGCAAATCAAAGTCAACTGACCGCCTATTAAATGAGTCAGACTTAACTTTCCTTCCCTTTTTGTAAGCCACATGGTTCGAGTTTTTTAGTTTTTCAAAGGAAAATTCCTTTATTTTTCCACTGGCAAAATTGATTGCTTCTCCTGCAATGTCCTTTAAATTACAGCTATTCTGAAATGTAGAAGTTCTTTTGACTCTGGGTATGCCTGTAAGGACCTGATGGGGACAGTCACCTTCAGCTGAGGAAAGCCCATTTTCATGGGGTAGAAATACAGAATTCAGATCTGCATCTTTGAACTGAGACACAGGAATGTGCAAGAGGTCTGCACAAACACTATGATGTACCACAATGCAGTCAACTCCATGTGTGAAAGTATGGCAGGTTCCAGTGCAATAATGTACAGCTTGCTCAAAACGTCGATCTATTACCACACTGCTGTAGTGGTTCACAGTACTAACTACAAGTCTGTAAGTTGCTGCCATAATATCAAATCCACTGTGTCAGGATGTGGAACTTTCTAGATCTTGTTCGGAGAAAAGTCACCTAAATGACATTTAGCTGAAAATATATTTAATGACAGTATTCTCTGGGTACAGATATAATGACTTCCCACAATAGGAAACCACTGAAATTTGAGGTTTGATTAACTATCAGTATACAGTAGCTGCTGCACACATGTGCTTGTATTAGCAAGACTAATAATTTAATAATTGTTCCTTTCAGTTTTACTTAGTAATATGATACTACTTGGGTTATTTTTATGAAGACTGTCTTTTTAGTTCTTCAATGCAGAAATTTGTCATAAATATACTGTCATAAATTTCAGTTGGTAGTATAGATGTATTGTGATAAGTGAGTCCTCCAAAGGTTTAAATGATCCATGTTTCTGTGAATGACAAACCTACAATAAAAGAAAAAATAATTTAATGGAAATATGATTAATACAAGAACTTTTCTTTCTTCTTTCTTTGTATCCTATTTGCAGTTAATCACTAAGCTCTATTCCTTACTCACTGATATTCAACACAGCCCTTTGTTTTGTCAGTCTACACTCATAACTACCTAGGAGTAGTACTTCAACTCTGCCTTGTTGCATCTGCATTCCAGATGAAATTTCTTACCCCATTCTCCGTGCCCCCTTAACATGACTCTTAACAAATTTAGATTTAGACAGCTTTCTCATCCTTCACAGCTCAAGAATTCACATTCTGATTCACTTTCAAGCCCTACCTGAATTTTCCATTAACAACAAAGGTCTTTTTTTTCTGTTACCAACTTTTGCTTCCAACAATCTAGCTTCTCAAAGACTTCTAACACACAGTACCTATTCATGGTTTTGAAACTTCCTCTATATGTGGAGATTATTCTCCCAACATCTCTTTTCCTATTTAGAGAAAAACTGTATTACTGTTCTTGATCATATCCTCCAGAGTCTGTTTCATAAATGCTTTTAAAACATATAGTTGCTTTCCAAAAAGGTTGTATCAATGTACCTATTCAATCAACAATTTTTTGTTTCCTGGTACTGGCAATCAGACCCACGAGTGTGCTACCCCTAAGCTATACTCCCAGTTCTCTTTATTTTTTATTTTGAGACAGAGTCTAAGTTGTCCATGTTGGACTTGAACTTGTAGTTTTCCTGTCTCAGCCTCCCAAGTAGCGAGGGGTTACAAGGCATGCACTATCACACCTAGCTTCAATCAACAAATATGGGGTTCCTCCTATGTGCCAGGTGTTAAGTGTTAAGGATACAGCAGTGAATAAGATAAAGTACTTGCGCTTATGGAACTGACAATATAGTTGTAAAAACAACAACCGCATGTAAGAAAACATCTAACTTATCAGATGGTTATATGTTATGAAGAAAAACGGAGCAGACAGGGTTTAGAAAGGACAAAAAGTTGCTGTTTTTTTTGAGACAGAGTCTCACTCATGGCAATCCTCCTGCCTCAGCCTCCTAAGTTGAAAAGGTGTTTTATAAAGGGAACTCAGACTTCACTGGCATCTGAACAGACAAATGAAAGAAGAGACAGAGCATGCCAATGAGCTATTATAAAGTAAGTCATCTTAAGCAGAGTAATCATAAATGCAAAGGCCCCGAGGTGGAAACACGCTTGATTTACTAGAAGAATGACCAACAGACTATAAAGTGGATAGAACAGAGAATGCAAGGAGGTGAATACTGCAGGTAAGGAGAGAAAGGAAAGGTGGGCACCTACATTATGCAAGGTTTAAATAATACAGTGAAATTGGCTTTAACTGAGTAAACTGGGAAACAACTCATAGCGAATGAACAGAGGAGTGACATGATCAGCTTGACATTTTAAATGGATGAATTTTGGCTGTTATGGTCAAAGTTTAGAAAAGCAAGATAAGCAGGATAACAGCTTCTGAAAAAATGGTGGCGTGGTAAGCAACAACTTAGCCTTTCCAAAATTTAGAATTCAGACACTGGAAAATAATGGGAAAGTAGAAAAAAAGGGGAAGAAAAAAAGAGGGAGGCTGATCCCTGGGACTCAGGAAGGACCTGAGGGGAAAACTGGAGCCAAAATAGAAAGCAAAAAGACAAAATACAACATGGAAAAAGGAAGGAGCAATCCATGCTTTCTTCCTGACTCGTGGCTTGTAGCGATTGAGAAAGGAAGATCCAATCTGCAGAGACACAATGAAATCAGGAGGCTCCAGATGGCCTCAGGAAGAAACACAGCAGTGGAACAGACTGGTGGATGCTGTCTGCTGCAATAGCCAGTTAGTTAGTGACTCTAGTCCAAGCACCTGCCATATCCCTTGGACAAAGTAGTCAGATGCCATTCTAGGGAGAGGTTTAACTGAACCCAGGACTCAGAGCAGCTGTAGGGTAGGTTCATTTCAGGGCTCCCACTGGTACACTCCCAGAATGACTGGCTGAGGGACAGCCATAGGAGAGAGACATGATCAGAGTACTAGAGTACATACGCAGAGAATGTGGTTGCTGGGCTAACTACATTGCATCCTCTTCTGCCAAATTAACAAAAGTAGTCAGATCATGGGTCTGTGGCAAAGAATTATAGTTAGGCACAATCAAAGTACATCACTGAAAAGCAACTAAAGCTTCTCTACACCAGAAACAAATTATAAGCCTACACAAACCTTAGCGAAAAACAAAACAAACAAAAACAACAGAAACATGAGAAGACAAGGCAACAAAATATCTCCCCAAACTTCCAATTCTTTTGAAGCCAGTCCAGGGGGCACCAAGGGGCAAAATAACAGAAGACACACACACCTGCATTAGTTGAGAGGTTAAGAGAAGCAGTTAGAAAACAGTTCAAAGAGATGATACTCAGAGGGATTAGACAAGATATAAACAAAACAGAAAATGGAATAATCAGAAACACACAGGAGCTTTCAGAAGACACAATTAAAAAGATAGATGAACTAAACAAAACAATATAAGACATTAATGACCAGTTTACCAAAGAATTAGAGTACAGGAATAGTTTTCAATCAGAAATTCAGATTAAAATCATACTGAAATTATGGGCAGCAGAAGTGACCAATATGAGGACAGAATATTTCAGTACTAGTAGACAATAATGCCTTCAAAGACTAATTCCCAAGGACACCTTAAAAAGAAAAATAGCACATGAAAATGGATCCAATAACTGTTAGCTGACCCAATGACTAATCTATGAAAAATCTGAATAAATGAAAAATCAGAAGACAACACAAATAGCATAAAAAGAACTGTTGACAGAAATAATGGCAGAAAACTTCCCAAATACGGGAAAAGAAATAAATATACAGATAAGTGAGGCATATAAAACACTGAATAGCCATGACCAAAAAAAAAAAAAAAAAAAAAAAAAAAACCCAAAAAAAAAAAAAAAAAAAAAAACAAACAAACCCAAAAACAAAAACAAAAAAACAAAAAAACTCTCTATACACATTATACTCAAAGTACCAGAAGTCCATCACAGGGACAAAATCTTAAAAGCTGTTAACAGAACAGCCACAAATCTTATACAAGGGTAAACTCATTAAAATTACAGTAGATTTCTCTAAATACACCTTAAAGGGCAGGATGATTTGGAATGAAGTGTTTCAAGCCCTAAAAGATAACAACTTCTAACTGTGACAATATTTCCTGTAAAACTTTCCTTTAAAATTGACAGAGAAATAAGACATTTTCATGACAAGGAGCACCTCAAGGAATTCATGACCACCAAACCAGTGTTACAAAAAATTCTCAAGGATATCTTAGAGATAATGAAGCCAACAATGCCAATAAATAAAAAAGAATGAATATACTTAATGGTATGAATAGCCAAATAAAAGGAAAAAAAAAAGGAAGACACAGCAAAAGGAAAATGATGCAATCAAAAAAATAAGTCAATACCTTTCACTAATAATTCTCATTGTCAATAGTCTCAATTCCCTAAACAAAAGATAAAGATTGGCAGAATGGATCAAAAAACAAAACTCAACAATATGAGACATGTTTAATTAAAAAAGAAACTCACAGATTCTAGTTTCAGACAAAGCATATTTCAAGCCAAAACTGATCAGAAGAGACAAGGTCATTGTTAGTTAAGGGAACAAATCAACAGGAAGAGTTAACAATTATAAACATATATGCACCAAATACTGGTGCATTCAACTTCATAAACAAATGAGTAGATGTGAAAAATTAGAGGCCAGGGATGTAGCTCAGTGGCCCTGCACCTGCCTCACAAGCACAAGGTCCTGAGTTCAATCTCCAGATTGGTGGGGAAAAAAAAGAAAAATTAGATAAACACCAATAACATTATAATGGAGGACCTCAAAACCCCATTGTTACAAGTGGACAGATGAACTACGCAAAAAGCAACACAAAACCAGAATTGAACCAAACTTTCAAACAAATGGACTTAATAGATACCTACAGACTGTTCTATTCAACAACACAATATACATTCTTCTCAGCAGAATATAGGACTTTCCCCAAAATAGATCATAATGTACACTTATGTAAATGCAATTATCCCATCTGTATTACCAGATAATAGGACAACGAAACTGGAAATCAATGGAAAAACACTACAAAAACTATGAAAACACATGGAAATTAATAATACCCTCCTGAATAATCAATTCATCATAGATAAAATGAAAGAAGGAATTAGTCTACAATAAAAGGATAATGCCATTATGTCATAATGGAATCTATGGGACACAGTGAAAGTAGTTCTAAGAGGGAAGTTTATAATGGTGAATTCCCATATCAGAAAAACAAAGCAAGCTCAAACAAATAACTTAATGATGTACATCTCAAGGTCCTAAAACAACAACAATCTAAACCCAAAGCTAGTACAAGGAAGGAAATTATAAAGATCAGAGCAAAAATTAATGAAACTGAGACTAAAAAAATACAGATATTCCTTGTTTAATGACTGTTTGCATTTACAACCGAAGCACGCTGTTTGTTCAGATTTACCATCTCTGCTTTGGACTTACAATCTGCCCCTTTGTGTGTGTGTGTGTGTGTGTGTGTGTGTGTGTGTGTGTAGTTCTGTACATCTTGTTGACAGAGACTTGATGTCTTTTTTTTTTTGTACAGTAAACCTTGTTTATTTAGTGCTGTAATTTTTATCATACTATCCGGTACTGTAGTTTTATGTTCTGTTATACATTACAGTACTGCATGTAAGAATTATGCAAATAATGAAATGAAAAAGAAAGTAGTACTCCCAAAATCATTCCTGGAAACAAGCATTATACCTTGATACCAAAACCAAAAAAAGACCGAACCAAAAACAGAGGCTAATCTCTTTAATGAACATAGATGCAAAAATTCTCAATAGACACTGGCAAACAGAATGAATCAAATTATCAAAAAGATCATATACTATGACCAAGTAATATTCATTCCAGGGATGAAAG